CTTATCTAAAGCTTCATTATCCAAAAAAACATCTAGGATCTTTGAGGTGGTTCTTTGATAACACTCTTATTTACTCTTATGTTGTATATTTTGAATACATCTTTATTTGTATTCACTTATCTTCTTGTTATACGAAGGTCCATTTCTGAACTTATATCATATGCAACAATAATAAGAGGTCGTATTGCTTCGGAGAGATTCACATCAAACACTCATTTCGGCGTGGCTACTTCCTTACATACTTCGTGTTGCCTTTCACAGGTCTTAGGAATTTATATAGTTGCCATTCTAACAGAGACGTGGAGGAATAATTGGTAGGGGCATGTCACTCAACACACCGTACACATGATAAAATTGCAATTACCTGTGTTTGAATCTCCTCTCCTTCTCGCTTCTCTCTGTCTTCTCTCTTCTCTCTCTCTCCTCTCTCTCTCTCTCTCTCTCTCCTCTCTCTTCTCTCTCTCTCTCTCTATCTCTCTCTCTCCTACTCTTCTCTCTACAGTTAGCACACATATATAACAAAAATTGCTCATATTTATATATATAAGATATCTATTATTAATATTTATTAATACTATTTATATACTATTATTATAGTATAAGGTATTATCTAATACCTATATATATATACCATATATATTTAAAGGTACTTTATATCATATATTATACCATGTTATATTGTCCTATAATATTGTCGTTGGTGTCCATGTGTTAGCGAAAGAATAAGTAAATGAATATATTTAATTAATAATTAATATACAAAGACTTAGTATACTGCTGTGTGGATGGTACGTCTGATTAGTGTATATGTGTGTGTCGTGTGGGTGGTGTGGTCGTTGTCGTGTGTATGTGCTGTGTTGTGTGTGTGGTGTGTGTGTGGTGTGTTGTGTGTAGTGTGTGTGTTGATGGTGTGTGTGTCTATAACACAGACTATGGGTAGTGTATGTATTTTAGTATATGCTATGTTATGTATGTATGTATAGCTAATATTAGTAAATTTAATATCACTAATCAATAATGGATACTAAATTATATACTTCACAATCCTACTACTCGACTTTACATACCTAATTATGATATACTAACAATTTAGTGTATCATTATCTTCATATATATATAATATCAGTATACTATTATTTCAACTTAGAAATTATAAATATATATATATGATATATAGATATATATACTATTCTATATATTATACTATACTGATCATATTTAGATATATATAAAAGGCCCCTATATGTAATGTGTGTGTTGTCTTGGTGCCGCATGTGCATGGGCATTGTGTGTCTGTGTGTGTTGTGTGTATGTTGTGTGTGTGTGTGTGGTGTGTGTGTGGTGTGTGGTTGTGTGTGATCGTGGTGTGTAGGTGTATTGGTGGTGTGTTGATGTGTTTGTGTCTTGTGCATGGTTGTGAGTGCTGTCGTGCGTTAAGTGTAGATGTGTGTGTTGTCTGTGTGTGTGTCAGTATCAACTCGTGTGGATGTCTGTTGTGGTGAACGTGTGTCTTGTGTAGAATATTATAACATCAAATGCGCCCTGTCTCCTGTCAAAGTAGCTGTCTGGCTATGTGTGTACGTGTTCTGTTGTTGTGAATCGAATATGTCTGTTGTCTGCGTGGTGTCTGATGGTGCGGGTGCGTGTGCATTGTGTGGCATTCTGCGCGTGGCGCTGTAATTTATGGGATCAATCAAAAATCAAGTGATTCCATTAGTAAACTAATTTGTAGTTATATCAAAAAGTTGGAAGGGCACTTCTTTAGAACTTACTTAATAATATTGCTTTTATCTCAATTTCTCATGGACTGAGAGCTACACAATATATAAAAATATGCCTGACAAAAAATATTGAGAGTATAAATCAATCACCATCATATTTTGTATAACTATTTGACTAGTCTGCCATGAAAATAATTCAAAAAATGCAGGTTACTTTGTTTGAACATATTCAAATATATTCACTCCAATATTAAAACAAACTGAAAACAAAATCCATACGGAAATGTGTAGAAAATCTTATAGAATCAAAGAAATAGAAGTTTCGAACAACAGTGGATTTTACCTATATTAAAATGACCACTGAAATATAATGCATTGATTTCTAATTGGGCACGACCTGCCTGCTATTCATTTATTTCTGTTAGCAAATAAATGCTTATTATAAATTAATAAACAACCTAATTATCAACAAACACCTTTTCATTACTTCTATGTGCTTCAAACAACTGTGTTTCACATGGTTGAAAATTCAATGAATTTATGAAACTATTACATTTACTCAAGTAACGTGGTTGTCAAATCCTCACTCCCTTATTGAATCACAATAGTGTAAAAGCACCAATATTAATTATCACGAAGGTTTTTTTGATTATACCATAAAGGTTATACAAAATATCATTAAATACATTAATTGGTTACAATCATATTACTGGAATAAATGAAATGAGGCCTACTAGTATATTCAATATACTATATATATTATACTATTATATGATATATATATATTAAGATAATATATAATATTATAAATATAAATAATATAATAATATATAATATACAGTAATACATCATAATATATGAGTATAATGATATAGTATAATAATAATATAGTATATCCAGTACACTTACTAAGGTAAGTAATTTAGATATTTAAGTTTATACTGTATTTAATATAGATTATATTAATCAAAGCAAGTATTTACATAACATAATAGTATATTAAATATTAATAATTATGAAATAAAAATAAATAATATAATACTAAAGATATTATATATAATACAGTATTAGCTCAATATTAATACCCAATAATGGTAATCATTATAGCTATTTCTACAGTAATAATTATAGATGAAATAAGTTTAAAATTACTATAGGGTGATCACAAATAAAATTGAATAGCATTGTGTAGATATTTAAACTGGAAATACAATATAGTGAGAGTAAATATATATAACGTGACCAATATACAATGAGATACTAAATGCAACATTTGACTAGTGATTAATATAAATGTATCACAGAAATAGAAGTTCAATGTGATTTACCTATTCTTAAATGGAAAAATTAAATGAACCTATTATCAATTTTCACTATGAATTTTTAGAATTAATATAATGAATGTAATTTTACAATTATATTTTTATAATAGTAAGAACCAAATATATTGTATGAAAGAATAAATATTATTTACATAATATAGTACGTATTAAAGATAATATAAAAGACTATAAAATATAAATATCTCCCCTACCTCTATTGTATTCACAATACGAATTATATCCCACTACCCTCTCCACTAACAAACACACATTACCAACAAGTACATCATTGTTACCCTTAGATAATGACAATGGATCAGTACACTCAAGAATCCCTATCCAGATAATTGGATCCTCACAAAATTAGCAAATTTTAATTAAAGATAGATAGAGAAAAAAAACAAGAACAGATAATTAATTTAAGGTAAGGAGAGGGGAGTAAAATCTTAATAATATTCTCCAAGGATAACAATATTGATAACCATTTCGCGAAAGAGCTACTAACCTTATTTGGAATGTAAAATAAATTAACTATTCTTTGATTATAAACTATTAACAGATCTGGTATTCTTTATCAAAAGTCACTATCATGCACAGAATGTTAATAAAGAAAGTTTTGTCTCATATCTGAACTATTATTCTATAGGCATCGTTGCAAACATTACGCATTGGAATACTTTGAAAGATTTTATATAGAGGTGTTACGATCAGTTTATGAGAATTTTCCCCGTGACTGCAAGGGATGCCGCACAGTGGTATGCAGATACCTTAGTTAACTTTTATCACTTCATTATGTCACTGCGAGAATAAATCTTCTATCTATTTTATTATGTGGTACTTTTGTCTTCAATGTCATCTATATTCCTCTTCATAACGTCACATGCATTCCATAATAGTGGCATAACTGCATCCACCTATAATCCATTTACTTAACTATTTCATGTCCTGTGTTATTCCCCGTATATCATCATTATCTCCATTAATGAATTTATTCTTATTTAATTCTTGGTGATCATTTTTTTTGAAGAGTCGATTGAATGAGGCATATAAGTAACGACATACTACTTACACTCGCTGGGCAAATAATCACCACCATGCACCTTAACAGCCCATCCAATCAGAGCAGCGCGATGTTCCAGCACTTACCTCCCACATCTGTTATGGTGTGCATTGAGGATGCATGCAGGATCTGACTTCTTGTTGTCATTAGATAAAGGCCAGCAGTTGCACACGTAATTTCGCCTTAAATGTGAGAACAAACACAATAAGTAGACGCATATTTAATCTACATACATTCTATCTGTGAAGAAGATTATAGCAGCTGATTTTGGTCTTTTGATTGCACACATAGAGTGTGCTTTTTAGAACTCCATAGTAATATTATGAAATGGAGTAGCATCTAATTGATTCATAGTGAACTATATACTCACATTCGATTTGTTTAATTTTTTAGACCAACGCATTCCGTCTAACCAATAAAATAGAATATTGAAATTCTCACGTACTACTGATTTATAGAGTGACTATAATAAGCTGCATAACATTAATCCATCTGATATGTGAGCCGGCTCAATACTCTTTTATCCCTCAGAAATAGGCGATCAGCTATATCGAACTGGATATTATGTAGCTACAATTGGTGATTTGCATTATTTAATTATATATAAACTATTCATTTAATATTAATAAACATACTAAAACATCATTGTCACAATATATTTCTCACCAATTTACGAACAAAATGTCATTGATCTAAGAGCATGCAACCTAAAAAATCTTTGACACACTCTGTTCAGTGTTACTGACTATAATAAAGACCTACAAATGGAGATAATAAATTGCTTATCGTCGCTTTCTAAATCTCACAACGCACCATCCTTACAATCTAACCCATTTTTCAAATAATCAATTACACTGGAATTACAAAAGCACACTTCCATCAAAGACATACTTCTTCCTAGACGGTCAAGTCAAGGTCAAAATCTTCACAGGATTGGTCAAGGGTCGGCACCTGCTCCTTCCGCCAAAGTGTGGGAGGAGGCTGGACATGCGATGTTCTGGTTTGGGGTTTGTCGTCAATTCTCACGGACCTTCATAAATAAAAGATAAAAAATCAAATAAACAAATGAATACGAATACTGAAATGAAGTATGGATATATGGATCAGCCAAATAAATAATAATATAAAGTAAAAAATAGAGTAAACAAGATGAAGTATATTACATAAGTATCCTATGGAATGGACATTACTACCTCTTAAACAAAACTCCCCAGTATATACTTGCATGATAGTATTATAAATGCAATATCAAGATGTAAGTCAAGAACAGATATACTAATGACTGAGTTGCTTTATCCTTGGGATATTTACTTTTATTAATATCATCCGCACCTATTCTTATTATCATTATAATTAGTACTATAATTATCATCATCATCATCATTATCATATTATTATTATATTATTATTATCACTGTATTATAATATCATTGTCATTATATTATCATGATCATGATCATTATTATTACTATTACTATTATTTTTATTTTTATCTTATTATTATTATTACTATTATTTTTATTTTTATCTTATTATTATTATTACTAATATTACTAATATCATTATCATTACGACTATTATCATTATTATCACTTTTTTCTAATCATTAAACCATTAGCTTAATCTATTGTGTGCAGATTTCACAAACTCAAAACAAGTATTCCATAGTCCCACATAACAAACAAAGAAACAAGTCATGGGGCCCCTTCCACGACATGGGGATGGTATTAAGTAATTATATATATTATAATATGGGTGTAAATATTTTATATTATAGCCGCAATTGTAACTTGGTTGTATATTTATTACTGATACTTACATATAATGTTACTGACATGTAGATATTATCAATATATTAAGGCAAGAACAAGTGTGAATTTTACGGGGATTGTGAGAGGCTAGTAAAACTATCCCATTCAGTATTGTGTATATTACACCAAGCGAGAAGCCAGTCCTTCTTGCGCTCACTCAGTTATAGCCTCGCGGATCTGTGCCAGTGTAAATAATGAACTAGAGCATTATTATATCATTAAAGTGGTGGAAAATAACCGTGTTTTGTTATCCGTTCCACCACGTGTTTATTCCAGGTGTATTTGATATATTCTTAAACCAGAATGAAGTCTAAAGAATAAACAGAAAGAAAGCATCACTAATGTTATCAAAATACTACCAAGAAGTAACTGTTCCACCCTATTTAACTAGAAAATAGTGGCGCAGTGACACACTTCATTACTCAATCCTAGTACTGGGAATTTTATATCTACTTCCTGCTATTCTTTTCTCAATCCTCAAAAGCATTCACTAACAATACCTTCCATTTTCTTTCTTCAAATGCTCTATTGCAACTGCATATATTTTCCTATCTTTAGAATATAATAATACAGGCATTTATTTTCCTTGCTATGAATACTCTTTCCTGTATTTGAAGTGTCATAAATTTAAACTTCAAAATAAGAATCCTAATGGTCTACTATTTCATGTTTAAATGTACATTAAATTATGTCAAACAATTACTAATACTATCCATAATTTTCTGCAGTCTGAAGCATATGCTCACCTGAACTCGCAAAAATGCTTGTCAATGTAAACTATTTTACCAGTGTTTATACTTTTCTTAATCTATTTTTTTTTTACACAGCTTATTTGAACTCTATTTTGAATTTCAAGGTAATACTGAGTAGAAAATGAACCCAAGTCTCCAGATGCAATAAGCATACTAAATACCACTTGCCAAAAATATGGCATCATACAAATGGAAAGTATATTACCTTGGCCTTTCATCTACCGAACTCAGGTACTTGTTGAGGGTTCGATCCAGTGTGTCTGAGTGGGTATAATGGTAACTGTCAATATTGCTAGGAGCCTTTGGAAGGTGCAGTGACGAGGGTGGTGTTAGCTGCCCCAAAAAAGTTGAGGAGGCAAAGGGTGTCTGGCAGGATAAAAGAGAAAAAAAATAGTTGAAGAGATCTGGTGTTATTAAAATATGTTGAGACCTATAAGGGCTCTCTTAATTATAAAAATACAATAATTGCAATAATATAAACACTGACTCAATTTCAGTCACTATAACAACTAAAAATAAGTGCTGGAAGAAACTTAAAATATAAATCCAAAACTCAGAATGTTTAAAATCGTGAAAACATTTTTGCATTCAACTTACCTGCAAGTGAGCATTAATCTCACGGAGGTTGATGGATACGGATTCTTCTTTGGGTTTATTTAACTGTGTGTTTTTGTGGATGTGGTTATGTTTAGTCTGCACTTCATGTTGGTAGAGATCCATAAGTCTGTTGTGCCGTGTTTTCCATGTGTCTTCCTCCTCACTATACACACTCAGTTTTGCACGGAGGCGTATTATTTCCTCGGATAACCTCGAGATTTCGTTCCTTAGTCCCTGCTCTTGAGATTCTTTGACTTTGGCTTGGGACTGCTGTTGTTGACTCTGTTGATCAATGAGCTGGTTTAGTTCAGCAAGTTTGTTGCTCAACTCAAGCTGACATTTGCTCTCAATCTCAGCCTGAAGGTGAAGGAGTGTTGCTTTTGGCACATATTCTCTGGGAATCTTCCTCTGCAACTCCATCAACTGCTCTTCTGCTCTCTTTTGCATCTGCTCAGCAAGCTCCTTCTCCTGCCTGATCAGTTCAAAGGATAGCTTCTCTCCTTTCAGCATCATGACTTCCTGTTTCAGCTGCAGCTTCTCTTGGTTTATACTCTCTATTTTCTTCCTGAGAGTTTCTATGGTGTCATTACTATTTCTGATTTCAGCCTCTAGCTCTTTCTTTTGAGCAGTCAGATCCTGTAGAGATTCTTGATGTTGTGTAGCTTCCTGAATACCTTGCTGGAGCTGTGCAAGACTGTCCTTGGTCTTCCTGAGCTGCTTCTCAAGTTCACCTTTGGAATTTCTTTCCAAACCCAGCTCAGCCTCTGTTTCTCTCAACCGCAGTTCCAAACGCTGAGCTCTACTGCACTCTTCCTTATATTGGTTTTCTGCTTCCAACTTTTCCTCTTCCAGTTTCCTGATCTCTTTCTTTTTATCTGCAAGACTGTCATCATCATTGTCTCTGCCTGTCGGAGGAGTGCGGAGCATGGGAGGTTGCTGTCGTGGCATTTGTAAGAGTTGGATCAACTCTTGAACTCTGGCCTCAGAAATATCCTTAGCTTCCTTCAGGCCATGCAGCTCACCTTCATACCATTGCCTCTGGTGTTGCTCTGCTTGTAACAGTGCTGAGAGCTTGCCATTCTCTGAGCTAAGGCGGAAGTTCTCCTGACGTATCCTTGAGGAATCATCATTCTGACTGGCTGTCTTGAGTGTTACTTCATGAATTCTCTCATCCTTTTCTCTGAGTGTGCTCTGTGCCTCCTTCAGATCCCTTGAGAGAGACTCTATTGTCTGCTGGTGGTGAAGCTCTGCTTGCTGTAGACGTTCCAGATTTGCACTCTACAAAATCAAAATCAAATTTTGTATGCATGACTGCCTACAAACAGTAGGAAAAGTTTTTTTTTTTTTTTTTTTTTATAAGTATAACAATGAAAAGTAAAATTTTGTAACTCCTCTTTAATGTTAGTTAGCTAGTATATGTTCACATTAATATGAATTATGAAATAAATCAATATAATTTCGTAATCTAAGAAGAAAAATCACTAACTCACCTGAAAGCGAACCTTCTCTTGAAGTTTTTCTTGATTGCTAGAGAGTCTATCCAGTTCCAGTTCTTTACTGTGTAAGGAATCCTTTAATAACTGTACATCGGGCCCATCCTTTATGATGGGTTTCTGATGTATAAAGCTGTGGACATCCTTCTGCAAAGATTCTAAGAGCTGTATCATACTTTGGTTCTGGAATTTCAGACTTGACACTGCTTGCTCATTACTGGCTTTCAGGGCTGATATAAGAGACTCATCAATGATTCCACTGACAGATGGCAGATTCTGGGATGCTTCAAGGGATGACTGCATGCGCATGAGTCCTGTCTGCATCCCTGCAACCTGGGTGGTCATCTCTGTTATCTGCTTGGACAGCCAGGACAATTTCTGGTCCTCTGCGAGATTGGCATGCTGAGATACCTCATTGATTCTCTGCACCAGAGTTTGCTGGAGTCGACGTAGGTGGTCTTGCAGAATGAGGAAATTTTCTTCCAGGGCTTCGCTCAGGTTTGTGTTTGACTCAGAGGAGCGGGCTTTAAGGAGGGACATGACCTGCTTGTTGCTCTCCCTGATGCTCTTCAAGTCTGCATCCACCTCTGTCAAATCCAGTCTTGTGCCTGAATCAACAGACTGTAGGCTCTGCTGTAGAGTTGATATCTTTCTTTGTAATTCTTCTGACATTCTGTGAACTTCATGTTCTACACCTGATAAATCCTGAGTGCTCAAACTCTTCTCAAATGATGACATAAGGGACCTCTCCATCTTCCCCAACTTATCTGTGATATCTCTGCCAAGGCTTTCAGAGATGCCACTATCTTCAGGCTGGTTAGCTGCAATAGCCCTCTTCATTTCAGCAAACTTTGGCATCAAATCATCCTTCAGAGTCTCTATGGCATGCATATTATAATCTTTGCTTGTTTTGATTGCATCTGATAAGCTTTTTACACTGTAATCATTACTCTCCTTAAGATTTCGGAAAGAATAATCCAGCTTCTCCAAAACATCTTGTTCACTAGATCCCCTCTGCCTCTGTATTTTATGTAGGTCGTTCCTCACCTCTTCGAAACTTGCAACAAGAGAAGAATTTACCTTCTCAAGAACCTCCTGAATCTCACCTGAATTATTTCTCTCCCTGCTTTGAAGAAGTTGTGCAGTTGTCTCCAGCTGTGATCGCAAGGAGTCCTCAATGCGATCCATAGCACTTGTAAATTTCTGTTGAGTATCCTCACACTGCAGTGAAGATGCCTGCTGGAGTGATGTCTCAAGGATACTTCCAACATTTTGTATCTCTCTGATAAGACACTGACTAATATTCTCAAAGGCAGAGGTCTGGTTGACATCAAATGTATCTGTTATCAAAGTTTTAACATCATTTGAAAAGTTAAGGAGTACCGGTTCAAGCGCCGATGTTATGTCATGAACGCTGATACTGGGCCTTGTCTCCTGCTGGCCATCTGGTAACTCCCTGGGATGTGGAGCTTCCTGAACATCTGTCTGAACTGCTGCTTGCCTTCCAAGTGCTGATGTTTGGCATGGCATATCTTTAACTACCTTCTTTGACTGAATATGGCTATTTGCATTTGTCAAGTCAGTTTGCACAGTACGACTTTGGATAAGGATCTGAGTCTGGCATGACTTCACAATAGTTTCTGGTGTGCACTGAACAGCTGTGCTGATGCCCTGTGATTCCCTACACTCTTCACTTTGTGTTTCTGCATCTCGAACATTGTGTACTTCATTTTTCAAAATTTCTTCTGTTTGGGTTGAGAATGAAGATTTTTCAATCTGTTTGGCTTGTTGAAGAGGTACACTTTCTATGCTTTTTGTAACAAAATTTTCCTGTGTCTCAACTTCTGTTTGAATCTCAACATCCACTGCATCTAGTGTAGAACATATAGTCTGTGAAGCTACATCCAATTTTTCACTTTCTTCAGGCTGGATATCATTAGTTGCTGTAGACTGTGATGCAAAATAAGTTTCCTCTGTCTGACAGCTCTTCATGGAAACAAATCTGAAAAGGAATGTGAAAAAACAAAATTAGACACTGATCCTATTTTTTCAATATTCTTGGTAGATATTCTCATTATTATTATCAATATCTTTGTCTGTATTTTTCCTGCTTTTATGATCATCACATTGTCATTATCAATAACAGTTTCATTTCAACCCTTACTTTGTCTGTGAGGAGAGTTCCTCCACCTTGCTCTGAAGGATCTGATTCACACGTTCTTTTGTCTCCAGTTGCCCCATCAATGAATCGACAAGTTCCTCTTGTTGCTGGGCATGAGCTCGCAAATGCACACATTGGTCTTGCAGCTGGACACATTGTTGCTGAGCCTCTTCGAGTGACTGGTCTTTAAGTCGAGACGAATCTTGCTCACATTTACCTCTATATTCAAGCTGTTTGATCCTTGCCATGAGACTGGAGATCTGTTAGGATTGAAAAATGAGGCATTTTGCAAGACAAAAGTACTTAAATATCCTAATAAATTTTTAATTTCAGTTTTAAAGCAATGAGACTAAATATAGATTTCCAAGTGTACTTACCTTTTTTTAATACTCAGCATTTAGCAACTCACCTCTTGCTGCTGGTGCTGCATCTTTTCTTCCTGTTCATCAATGTGCTTCTTACATTGCTTCTCCATCTGCTGCATGTGGGATATCTTCGTTTCCTGAGCAGCACGTCGACCAAACTCTTTTTCTAACTTCAATCTCAACTCTCTCACCAAATCCTGCAGCTGACTGACGTTATTTGCTTCAGGTAAAGATGACAAGGGAGTCAAAATAGAGTCCTTAAGTCCTGAGTTAATATGTGTGCTCTCTTCAGTTTCTGTGGATGCCACAGACACCATGTCATCTGCATCATCTATGCAGCGAGGGGTTATCAGAGGGTCCGGTATAATTGATTCCTCATCGCTGAAAACAATGCTACCGAGCCCACTTGAACGTGTTATGCCACTCCTGGATCCCTTTCTGCTTTGAGGCGTACTGGAGATTGGAGGCTCTCTCGGAGTAGAAATGGAAGCTTCTGGTCTCTTGGGTGGAGAGGCATGGTCGTTAGCTGGACTGTCAAATACTGGTGACACCTGCTCCTCCTTGGACATCCGTCTAGGAGTTCTAACAGTCACTTTGCTTCTTGGAGATGACACAGATTCTTCTAGAGACACAGAAAATTTTTCTTTTAGAGACTGGACATTGCCTTTACCCTCAGCAGCTCTGACCTCTGAGGAAGTTGGCATCCTTCCCATCTTCAGAGGTGAAACTCTTGATAGATCCTGTGTGTGGCTGCCCTTGTGCGTACCTGGTAATGGTGTCTCAACCCCCCCAGAGATAAGATCATCATCACTGACATCTCGACTTGTGTTCTCAGGTTCTAGCTGAGTGGTAGTCTTCATCATGTCTTTTTTACCTTGGTCTTCTAATTGCTGTGGTACAATCTCTCCTTCCCTTGGGACTCCATCAGTTTCATCTTTATGCATATCAGGTTTTGCTTTTGCTTTCACATTCTCATCTGTCTTTTCATGCTCAGGTGAATCTTCTGAACCATGGTTGCTTGTGCTGGAGTAGTATTTCTTGGGGCTGATGCTAGCATTTGCCTCCCACACCTCCTCCAATTCTTGCATGGTTCCCTCTCGCCCTAGAGTTCCTACCACTGTTGATGGGGAGTTTGTGCGTGAACTGGCTATTCCTCCGGCACCAAGAGAGCCTTTGCTCCCACCACTTGTGCTGCTATCTGAGAGCTTTCCTTGGGCAATGACCTCAACCCTTTTCCTTTCCAGAGCATCTAATACTTCTTTTCCATCAATTGCAGCTACTTTTGCATCTTCTACACATTGAGTAACTGAGGAACTCCCCAATTTGTTGTCTTCATCTTCATTCTTATTGTCTTGGCTCCTGGGTGATCTCTCAAATGAAGAAGGGCTAAACTTCTTTTTGGTAGGGGTTAGGCTCTTTTTCCTTGGAGGCCGACGTGGTGATGCTGCTTCTTCATCTGTGTCACTGTCAAAGATGCTGGAGCTCTTGCGAATCATTTTAGCTTTCATTGGGGATCTCTTTGAGGGTGATTTCTTTGGAGAAGTCTTCTGCGGAGAGATATTCCCACCTTCCTCCTTTGCCTTTGTGGAAGAGCGGCTACTCAGAGGAAATTTTTGTTTATCAGAATCTGAGAAGTCATTAGAAGATGCCTCATCCTCAGATACCTTGGGAAACTGTCTTTTCGGTGATACAGCAGCTGGAGACTCACTAAAGGGCAAGGACTCACCACCTCCCACATTACTACCAATGGCTTGTGAATTTCTCCGGCTGACCGTGACTTTTGTTGGGGTGCCTTCAATGGGCAACATGGAGTCCTCATCTTCAAAAGACACTTCTTCTGATGAATGAAATTCCATGTTGTCTAATCCCAAGTCTGCCAAGAACTTTGAATTTCCTGCATGAGACTCAGACTGCTTAGGTTCGTGACTGTCAAGCAGCTCATCTCTCCGGAGTTTTTGAGAGTTACTTTCACCATGAAACAATGGGAACAGTTTCTTCTTTGGCTCATCTTCTTCAGATGACGATTTCCAAGAATCTTCTGCCTCTGAATGCTTTTCATCCTTGCTTTCCTTTTTCTTATCAACGTTTTCCTCTTCCTCAACTTTGCTGACATGCTTGAGAACTCTTTTTGGTTCATCTTCCTCGGAGGATGATTTCCAAGAATCATCTGCACCTAGTACCTCCTCCTTATTGCTGGTAGTCTCTACATCATTTTCATTTGCTGGTTCTGAAGCTACACTAGATACACTAGCATGAAGGCGAGGAGGCTTTGGAGGTCCAATAAGACTCCCTGGTTCTGGAGTGCTGGAAAAAATGTTATCTCCAGAATCATCAGACGATGGTAAAAACTTGGTCAAGTTAATTTTTGGCTTCTCCTTAATAGATGCAACATCACTGTTATCACTCCAAGAATCACCTCCATCTTCATCCATGTCTCTATCTCTTGTTAGTCCCACAGCCCCTTCTTCTTCAGTGCTTACCTCATCACTTATATTCAGCAAACCTTGGGGAATCAAACTGCTGTTCCCTCCATCACGCATCAGGCTTTTCAAACGTTGGTGTAGCTGGTTGTGGTTTGTGAAGCGAGCATAGTCAGCAGCCGACCATTTACTGGAATCAACAGGGTTGACATCTGCACCATTGTCTAGAAGGGATTCAACCACCGGGGCACTGCCTATCTTTGCGGCAACCATGAGAGGTGTGACTCCCTCTTTGT